ATGGAATTTCACCATATTGGCCAGGCTGGTCTTGAACTCCCCATCTCAGGTGATCCACCTGCCTTGGCCTCCCAAAGTGCTGGGATTACAGGTGTAATCCAGGTGTGAGCCACCGTGCCTGGCTGTCCCAGGGCGTTGAAGACAGGAGCCTGGGGCCTTGGTTCTTGCAATCACCCAGGTCCTTGGTTCTTTTTGTAGGCTTAGGGGCTCTTCCTCTCCACCTTGTTGTCCTAGGTAGTTGGACTTCCTTCCAGGCAGCCCTGGCCCAAGAGCACAGAAGTGGCTACTGCAAGGCCCTCTTATGACTTTGGGCTGGAAATGGCAGAGCATTACTTCCATTGAGTCCTTTGGTTAAAGCAAGCACAGGTCCAGTGCAAATCCAAGGAGGGGACCACGCAGAGGGCCAGTGTGGCTCACTGGAGGCCACCAACAAAACCGCCTACCACGTTCTTGCTCATTCACTCTTCCTCCAACCTGTCACACACACTCCTGCCGCTAGGCCTTTCCACTTATGGGTTCCCTCTGCCTGGGGTGCTTTTCCCCAAATATCCAGGGGTCTCACCCCTTCCCTTCATTCATCTAAATGTCACCTTTAAAGAGAGACCGTACCTGACCCCACCTTATCAAAAACAGTTCACCCCCCCTCATATCACCTCTGTCCCCTGACACCACTCTGTTCTTTTTTTTTTTTTTTTTTTCCATTGCACTTGTCACTTCCTGGCATAATATTTACTGCCTGTTTATTATTTGATCTCCCTCTCCCCCATCTCAGAATATAACTGCCACGTGAGTAGGGCACTTGCCTTCTTCACTGCAGTTCCCTTAACTCCAGATAGGACACATGGTAGATAGAGCTGTTGAATGAATATTTGAGATGAGGAAACAGAGCTTAGAAAGGTTGAGTAACTTTCCCAAAGACACAGAGCTAATAAGTGACAGAGTGGGGATCCACACTGAAACATTTAGCTTCGATCAAGAAGCCGTAGAAGCTTTGCTGCGTAGGGGTAATTGCTTAGGTAATTATGGCTGCCTGCCCCCTCTTCTCCCTGAGTCCTGTCTGCCTCCACTCAGATTGATCTTCCCGCAACTAAAATCTGATGAGGGGTAAAACCCATCTTGAAGGTAGCTTCCCTCCCCTTCAGCAGAAAGCCCACCTGCCTTAGTCTGCTGCCCAAGACACAGCAAAGCTTGACTTCTAGCACTGGCCTGATATAGAAATAAGGGTTTTGGAGTCAACCCTGGATTTGTCTGCCATGCGCCCAATCACCCGCTCTCTAAATGCAAGTAAATTGGGAATGTCATTCATTCTAAGTGTCTGTGGTTAACAGGGCGGTCAAGCTGGCTGAAGGCTGGTCTGGAGTGGCCTCAGCTAGGGCGGTCATCCCACATAGTCTCATCTTCCGGCAGGCTCGCTCAGGCTTGTTCTGGCTGGGTTCCAGAGAGAAGGAGAAGTCTGCAAGACCTCTTAAGGCTGGCCTTAGAACTGGCCCAGCATCACTTCTGCTCTGTTCTGTTGTTCCAAGCAGATCAGGAGGCCAGTCCGGATCCCATGAATACGTGTGAAACTCTTAACACCATGCCTGACACACAGGAAATGCTATTATTGTTGTTGATGTTGTTGCCATGCATTTGCATAGTATACTTTACGCTTTTTAGAGTTTTACTGAATACATTACTATACCCTACACTGTGGGAGGAAGTTGGAGCAAATATTACTAGCCCCATTTGACAAATATTTAAAATATTTAAAACTTTGGGCAAGTTTAGATAACTTGCCCGAGGCCATGCTTTTAGCTAGTGGCTGCAGCCATACACTGGAAATCAGATGTTGTGCAATTTAAAGTATGTCTGCAAACGCATCTGCAGAAAGTGAGCCCATCTGCAGATGATTTCATTGTCCTGAGCACCACCGTGGTAAATATAATAAGGTCAAAATGCTGTCCTCATAGACCCAGGCTAGTAACTATCTGCAAGGGTCAGTGATGATGCCCAAGATCCAAGTTTCCTGCTTGGCTTCCGAACTCACTGGAGTGAATGATGGCTTTTTCTTTTCTTTTACAAAGAGAACCTCTCTCTAGATGCCAGTTGCTTCTCCTCTCCACCTGTGAACTTCCTCCAAGAATTGCCAAGCTACCGGTCCATTGCACGCAGGAGAACGACTGTCCATTCCCGGGACAAGCAAAGCGGCACTTTGCTAAAGTCAACCGACTCTTACAGCTCCCAGCTGGAGGACAGAATCGCTGAAAACCTCAGCAGCCAATCTCTTCGAAATTATGCACTGAACATCTCTGAGAAGCGGAGACTAAGGTTTGTTCACTAGCCACCTAGAACCTGCATTGTGTATGTTATGGCCTAGAGGTACGTTTTGTGCATGAAATGCTTTTCCTGAAGAGCTCATATAATTAAAATTTTATTCTTTAGGGTAAGTTAAGCCTCTTTGACAAAGATACCCGAACTTTCTTCTCCACTCCTACTGCTTCACTTGACTAGCCTTAAAAAAAAAAAAAAGATACCCAAACATACTCAACATATTAGAAGTTTCTTTCTAGGCCGGGCGCAGTGGCTCATGCCTGTAATTCCAGCACTTTGGGAGGCTGAGGCGGGCGGATCATGAGGTCAGGAGATCGAGATCATCCTGGCTAACACGGTGAAACCCCATCTCTACTAAAAATACAAAAAATTAGCCGGACGTGGTGGCGGGCGCCTATAGTCCCAGCTACCCGGGAGGCTGAGGCAGGAGAATGGCATGAACCCAGGAGGCGGAGCTTGCTGTGAGCTGAGATTGCGCCACTGCACTCCAGCCTGGGGAACAGAGCGAGACTCTGTCTCAAAAAAAAAAAAAGGTGTTTCCTTCCTTCCTTCCTTCCTCCCTTCCTTCTTTCTTTTCTTTTCTTTCTTTTTTGAGACAGAGTTTCACTCTTGTTGTCCAGGCTGGAGAGCAATAGTGTGATCTTGGCAACCTCTGCCTCCCAGGTTCAAGCGATTCTCCTGCCTCAGACTCCTGAGTAGCTGGGATTATAGGCATGTGCCACCATGCCTAGCTAATTTTGTATTTTCAGTAGAGACAGGGTTTCATCGTGTTGGCCAGGCTGGTCTTGAACTCCTGACCTCAGGTGATCCGCTTGCCTCGGCCTCCCAAAGTGCTGGAATCACAGGCATGAGCCACCGTGCCTGGCAGTTTATTTCTTGCTAGCATAAAGTACTAGGAACTGAGGGACTTTACAGCCATTCAGGGATCCAGGCTCTTTCCATCTTGTGGCTCTGCATACCCCTAAAGCCTCATTTTTGTCTGCAACCAAGCAGGGCAAAAAGAAAGAGTTTGGAGTATGAGTATACCAGTTAGCTACGCAGCAGAATAAATCACCCCACAACTGAGTAGCCTAAAACAATAGTTTCTCAAGTCCACCAGTCAGCTGGACAAATCCTAGTTTCAGTTGGGCTGAATCTTTATCCATAGTCAGCTGTGGTTGGGGAGGTGGCTCTGCTGATCTAGGCTGGGGATCAGCTGGCTGTAAGCTGGTCTAGGGTGGCTTCAGCTGGGATGATTACATGGTATCATCATGATAGCTCGGGTTTGTTCGCATGGCAACAGCTGGAGCCCAAGAGAGGATCAGAAGCCTGCAAAACCTCCTGAGACTAGGCTTAGAACCAGTTCAGCTTCCCTCCTACTGCAGTCTGTGGTCTAACCAGATCACAGTCCAGATTCAATTTGGTGGAAAGAGATTCTTCCCACTAATGGGAAGAGCTGTAAAGTCACATGGCCACGGGGCATTCACACATTCATTGAGTCATTAGGAGTTTTGGGAGTGGGTTAAGAGCCAAGTCTGAAAGGTTGGCTTTTAACATTTCTACCAGAGAGAATTTAGCCACATGGTCATAACCTAACTGCTGAGAAAGCTGGGAAGTGTCTCCAGCTAGTGCCAGAGAAGGGGCGAATGGATTCGGGTGGTAGCTTGCCATCTCCCCCATTCTTGAAGAATTTAAAACATAATTTTCCCATTGACCTGGTGTCATGACAGAAGTGGGTATTTCTGCTTAACTCTCTAATTGCTCCCCCCACAGGGTTAGTAGCATAAATTCATTAGAATGTTCAGGCAAAGTGGCTCATGCCCGTAATTACAGCACTTTGAGAGGCTGAGGCAGGAGGATTGCTTGAGACCAGGAGTTCCAGACCAGCCTGGGCAGCATAGCAAGA